CAATGGTAGAGCGTTCAACTCCATGACCAAAGATCCCGGGTTAGAATCTCAAGTGATCCACACTTGGGGTTGGGTATGACTGGCTGATGACGGCTAATAAGCCAGAAATGGCCATTCCGGTCTCCCTTGTCTTTGTCGGTATCATCTCATATATATATATATATATAATGGCAGGGGGCGCCCAGTGATCGTTCATACGGAACTCACTCGTTCCGTCGTGCCTTAAGGGCTCTCTCTCGAGCCCAACCAGCTGCCGCACAGCGGCGCATGATACATAGGCAGAATAGCATTACCGACAAAGACAAGGGAGACTGGAATGGCCATTTCTGGCTTATAAGCCGTCGTCAGCCAGCCATACCCAAGACCGAAGTGTGGAACACCCGAGCCACGAACTCGCAACCTGTTGGTTTAGAAGTCCACGCCTCTACCCACCGGGCCACGAGCCCGTTGCTCTGTCGGTTTTCGAGCGGGAATATGCCATGCGCCGCTGTGCGGAAGCTGGTTGGGCTCGAGAGGGAGCCCTTAAGGCACGACGGAACGAGTGAGTTTCGTATGAACGATCGGTGAGCGCCCCCTGCCATTGTATATTCCCGATGGAAAACCAACAGGGCAAAATGCTCATGGCCCGGTGGGTAGAGGCGTGGACTTCTAAACCAACAGGTCGCGAGTTCGTGGCTCGGGTGTTCCACACTTCGGTCTTGGGTATGGCTGGCTGACGACGGCTAATAAGCCAGAAATGGACATTCCAGTCACTCTTGTCTTTGTCGGTAATGCTATTCTGCCTATGTATCATGCGCCGCTGTGCGGCAGCTGGTTGGGCTCGAGAGAGAGCCCTTAAGGCACGACGGAACGAGTGAGTTCCGTATGAACGATCACTGGGCGCCCCCTGTCATTATATGTATATATATATATATATCAGCGTGGAGGGATGACAGATAATGCGGGTAGATTGATACAGCACTGTTTCGGGCTTATTCTGCCTTCATTCAGCCAATCATAACCCTGACCACCAGCAGCTGCGACCAGAAACACAAACATGCGCACCGACGCACCTGGCGCAGTCGGTCCACCACTGAGGCCTACCAGATGGGTCATAAGCACTTCATCAAACCGAAGTTCATCAGTGCCTCACCACCTGTCATTCTCTGTCGCTGCAGATCGGGTATTTATCAATCAGGAATGGGCGCACACCGATCTATTGGCTTCACAAAGCAAACAAGCTCCGTATGTGTGGCAAAGATCACGAACAGGCAACCAATTACCAGGCCGAAGTCGGCAAAGCTATGATAGCAGAGGGAAGACGCCAGAGTCTGGTAGTAGACTGATACAGCACTGTTTCGGGCTTGTTTGTCTTCACTCAGCCAATCATAACCCTGACCACCAGCTGGTACCGGAAACACAAACATGCGCACAGACCCACCTGGCGCAATCGGTCCACCACCGAGGCCTACCAGATGGTTCA